GTAAAATTTATTTATTACATTTATATCATATTCATCAATTAACTTATATTGATGAATATTATCTAATAAGTTTTACTAACATATATTATCTATGCATGTTGAAATAAATTGGAAGAAATCAACAAAAATAAATTTAATTTAATTAACATCGTCAGTTCTCATTTGTGTGAGAAAACTGTATGGATGATTTTGCAATTTTTTGTCAAATTGTTTCAGACCAGTTTTAAAAATGAATCTTTCATTTTTGTCAATATAGGTTCAATATATTATGAAAATGTGTTGTATTATGATCTGAGATGCTACCTATCGTTTAAAATCTATTTTTAAACAGATGTGAGTTGCAGTCTTTGCTCAAATTCTGGTTCCCATTACGGTCCTAAGTTCGGTACAAATCAATCTGGGACCATTTACTACCAACTTGCAATTTACTAAAAACCTCTTCTTTACTTTGCACCGGTTGACGCTTGATAATTAAATGTGGATTGACGGTTAACTTAAAGTTACCACACACTCTAACTTCCCCATTGGATTTTAGAACAGGCACTGTAGGTGTGGCCCATCTACTAACCGTCACAGGCTCTAGTTTACCGACGGAAATTAATCTTTTTCTTTTTCTTTTTACCTTGTCTTTAAGTGCAAAAGGCACCGTTTCGATTGTATAGGCACTGTGTCTTTTTAAAAAATTAATTTAATCTTTTTTTACTGTATAAACTCCTTGCCCTGGACTAAATAATTTCGGGAATAATGACTTAACCTTAGGCATTACTTTCTCACTTGTATCCTCTGAATTACAATAATTTAATTCTAGTTTGAATGGCCACAGACCATTGGGTTGTTAAGCCAGCTTCTTCCCAACAAAGAGGGACCTCTCCATAGTAAAACATAGCATTTTATATCATTTACTTCCTTATCATTAAATGACACTTTCAAATTTGTTAGCATCCCTACAGGCTTCAAATCGTTTTTACCACATGTCGTTAAGGTTAGGTCAGGTTCGATCATTGCTGTATGTGAAAAAAATTGATCTTTCGACTCTTTTGATATCACTATTACATATGATCCGGTGTCTACTTGAATTGTAATTTTCACTCCGTTTATTGACAAATGATAACCAACGGTTCCGCCTTGGACTGCACATTCATCGAATACGCATTCGATAATTCAATGTCCCCTAAAACAATTTGCTCTAAGTGAAAAAAATCTTGTTCATTATTACTATCGTCTTCTGTTTTTATGCCCTCTTCTAAATAATTTACTCTTTGTTTTACTCTTTTGTTCCGTTTTTTTAGACACATTTTTTTCCAAATGTCCCCCGACATTACAAAAGTTACACACTTTAAATCTATGGATACTATAGTGTATCAATGAATTCTGTAAATCAAACACAAACAATTTTCTCTTTATTGTTCCTTAATACATTACATCACATTGCATAAGTGTTATTAACCCTCATAAAACATATGACTAATAACAAAATGATTGAATACTAAATCGATGTAACATCGATTTAGTATTCTTTTTACCGGCTTTGTAGTTCTTCGTAGGCGCATTTCAGTTTCCCCACAGGGAGCAGCCGTCGCAATAGGACTCTTCTCCAACAGCATAGGCAAATCGGTGGTTATTTGAGCATCGCTGTCTGATTTATTTTTCAGCGGCTCCGCTACATTCCCTGGAGGCTCCTCCTCGCTAAAGGATTTGATGGATGATTCTTCCTTTGGGGCCAACCTTACTTGGTCCAAATGATGAATCAGAGTTGTATTCTTTGATGGCACAAACACTTTCCTTTTAGCAGGACCAATATGTTTTTCCACTGTAGCTTGCATCCACTTATCTTCCTTCTGGTTATGTAGCAGAGGCCTGTTGGCACCTAGGGCAGTACCATTTTTCTGCCGATGAAGTTCATTTTCTACAAAACCACTCAAATATTTTAAAAAGTTATCATTTTTTTTTTAAAGAAAAATATATTCTCCAGATCATCAATAACGTTTTCCGTTATTGTCGGCCGTAGAATTAGAAAGAACGGTTGATTTTCAACTTGAAATATTTTTTTTTAAAATTGAGTTTACTGGTAATTTTATTGCCTCAGGCAATTATGTTTTAATATTGTTTCATGATTTATTATTCTGTGACTATTCACCATTTGTTAAAGTCCAATTATGATGAAATTCAACCAAATACTGATCCTCAGTGACCAAAAAACTAACCACTAGTCCGCCATCTTTGGACGCCAGTTTGGGCCATTGCGTCACTCTTATCGTGAGAACATTGGTGATTTTTTGATCAATTTTTACAAGGAACACAACGATATGTAATTTATAGGGATGTAGGGGAGGGGTGCACGGTAGGGGAAGATAAACTCTCTGGTATAAAGTCTCTGGCCCAGAGACCAGAGACTAGAAAAGAGGACGGCCATAGTACGGTGTTCGTAAAAAATGGAGGAGTGGGGGAGCATGGAGAGGGAGGGTTAGGAAAGAGGTGGAAAACGAATCATGGAGTTGTTAGTTTTAGATTTAGAACGTACATACGTAAAATAATAGTTTATATAAATTTCAGTCTTTTTTTTTTTGTATATAATAAATTTATGTTTTGCGATAAAAAAAAACAAATATTTCTTTTATGATTATAGAACATATATTCGATTCAATGTTCAACTCTGGTACGTAAAATAATGTAATGTAAAACTCATCGAAATAACACGAACGAAGACCCCAAAACAATAACTGAACCACCATTAGAGGAAAACACTAAAATAAATTTATCTTTACCAATTTTAAACGAAACTTATTATAACCTCTCAAATACCAATATAGATTCACTCACTGATTCTGAATCAGAAATAACTAAAGGTAAACAATCAATGAAAACTGAAAAAGAAAATACAACTATACAAGAGCAATTCTCGCAGGTCAAAGAACTGATCGAAAATAATAGTGACAAATATCCCTTGGATTTCGATACATTCTGTATTTTCGTAGAAATGACGAAAAATGAAAGCAATCCTATAAACACTATTAAACTATTCACTCCTAATGTCCATGATGTACTGGGTATGGTAACAGATATACATAAAAAAAGTTAATGGACGCACAGTTAAACAAGATGCACAAAATTAAAAATGCTGAATAAAATTAAAAAAGGTCTCGAAGAAAAACCATATGTTTAAAAATAGCCATAGTAAAATTATTTTTATATTAATAAAATGCTCAAAATATTACAATGGAACTGCAATGGTTTAAACAAACACAAAGACCTATTTAATATTTTAATGTCTAGGCATGCACCAATCTGTGCGGCGATTCAAGAAACACATCTACTCAACCAACACGATTTCAATAAAAATAACTACGAAATAATAAGAAAAGATAGAAATTCATCCAAAGCCTGGGGTGGGGTATCCATAATGGTCAAACATGGAGTCTTTTTTGAAATAATAAACTTACAAACGGATTTTGAAGCAAGTGCCATAAAGATTTATTTACCAAATCCAATAACGATTTGCAGTTTATATATCCCACAATGGAAAAAATTTTCTACCGAGGAACTGTCTTGGCTTACTAGCCAACTCCCTAAACCATATTACATTTTAGGAGATATGAGCGGCCACCATCATCTCTGGGGATCTGACTATATCGATAACAGGGGTAATATCTTCGTAAAATTTTTAGAAGTCGATAAAAGCACAGCATTATTGAACGACGGCACTAAAACCCATCTTAATCTAAGTACCAATACAATCACAGCTCCAGATCTCAGCCTCTGTGAACACCATCTCTTACCAACAACGAACTGGAGAGTGCTAGATGAATTATTGTGCAGTGATCACTTCCCGATTCTCCTAGAAATTCCAGGAAATAGGCCATTTGTACAATACAACAACCGATGCCAGTATTCTTCAGCTGACTGGGAAATTTATAAGGAATACATAATTGCAAACATAAATCAAAACGAAAGCTCTTTAGACACACTTGAATATCTAAATATCAATGAACAGCTAAACGTTTTTAAGCAGACAGTACTCGAAGCAGCATCTCATAGTATCCCTAAGATAAACAAAGAATATTCTCGCGTCCGAGTTCCATGGTGGAATACTGAATGCAGTAAAGCAGTCAAGGCAAAAAAGAGAGCTTTAAATAGACACAAAAAAACCAGACTATTTTGTGATCTTTTAGAATTTAAGGAACGGAGAGCCTACGCTAATAAAATTATAAAACAAAGGAAAAAAGAATGTTGGAGAGAATAAAAAGGGTCTTCAATAAACAGTTCGATTACTTCTAAACAAGTATGGTCCAAAATTAGAACAATAAAAGGATACAAAAAAATGTCCACAATATCAGGTTTAAAAACCCAAAATGGCATAGTAACAGAAAATGTGGAAATAGCAAATGAACTAGGATCCTACTTTCAACAAGTATCTTCCACTGAAAATTACGACTATTTTTTTTAACTAGTTGCCTCCTATCATTTGCTGAGTTCAAAATCATTTTTAGCTAATAATTGTAATTTTGTTATCCACTGAAAACAATTTTTGGTGGAAATGATGCTTGCTGACTCAAATAATTTTGTAGATAACTAATCAAAAACTAAAATTAGGATAATGATGGGCTTTAATTTATTGTTCATACATGTGTCCACCAAAGTAGAGAAAAAACTGTCAAAAGATAAAGAAATAAAATTAAAATAAGTATATTTTTGTGCAGCAATAATAATGTGAAATTAATGTTCGGAAATTCTATATGCAAAAAAAGTATTACTGGGTGCATGCAGTTATCTAGATAAAAAAAGTTAACATAAAAAAAACCCCGATATTTATCTTTATTTATGTATAGATAGACAGATAGATATTTATAAACTATTAATCCTTTAAGCAAATTCTAACAGAATTACAGTAGGGCAAAGGTACTATATCTATCATGAGAAGAGGTCACTTTATTTCTTCATCCCGTTGTGTAAGGAAGAAAATCAATAATTCTTTTTCTAATGAATTTATTTTACGTTAGGCAATGAGAAACGATCAAGAAAGTAAGTTTTTTTTCAGTTTTCTATTTTTCAAATAAACATTTAGGGAGAAGAACTTTATTTTTTTTAGAGTTATTGAAAAGCTATTTTGAAGGATATTTCTACTGAACTCACTCAATTTTTTTTACAGAAAAATGCTGTTGCATGAAACAATTGCTTATATTCTGCCACCCTGGCTTTATGGTGTATAGCTTCTTACAAGGTAATAATATCGAGAGATATATTGCACTTTTATTCATTAGAAAATATTTTGGAAAACTTGAGAGATAATAAAAGCCGATTTTGTTGTTTCATTAAAAACATTACAAAGAAATGGCAAAAATCTTTCCGAAATAGGGATTATATTTTTCAAATATATATATATATATATATATATATATATATTCTATTAACCATGAAGAATACTTACCAGTTCTTACCGTGTAATTTACTATATACAGAACACCTACTAATGTTATCAGTTCTGTTTAAAAAATAATATTTAATTTAAATATAACCTACTAAATTATTAATTTAAAAAAATGTACTTTTGTAATAATTTATTAATCAAGAGCTGTGATTCGTAAAGAAAACTAAAAAAACAACAAAAAAAAAAGCTTTCCAATAATTTTTTTTCTTAGTTAATTACCAATTATTATATAGGTGTTATTTATCCATTTTTGGTCCATAATAAAAATAAGAAGTGGTTAATATTACAGATAAACAAATTTTAAGTATTTCAAATGTTCAAAAACTTGGCATTTAAGCCCTGTTAGAATATTCAATGAGGCTAAAACAAATCTGATATAAATGACTATATAATTTTACAGTGTCTGTTTGCCTGGTTATTTGATTTTGTCTAAAAAATCATATACATATATATACTTACTTTAGGTACCAAATTTCAGTTTCGTACGATTTTTAGCTTATAAACCAAGTAATGTTTATTAAAAAAATATATATATGTATTAGTTTTAATAATGTTACGTTTCGGGGTTTTTATTTTGGCCATTTATGATAATTTACACTACCTAAGTTTAAAACCCATTCCATACTTCTTGAAATGAGGCTCGATGTCACCATACTCTAATATTTAAAAGTATACGGAGTGCTACCAATTGGTAAATTCTCAATCAGTCTTCTCATGCTAATGTATTTCTCTGTGTTACGTTTACTAGATATTCATTTATTTTTATACAGTTTTATATTTCATGAATAATAATTTTAAAAAAAGAAGCAGTAATCAGTGTTTGATTTTTCATTTTAAAATTGTTGTTAAAGCCATTTTTTAATTGTTTTATTCTAAAAAATAAAAGTTTAAATTATCTATTAAATATAATTAATAAAATAAATAAAGAATACATGATTTTATTTTTAGGCGAAATTTATTTCTTTTTTCTAAGAGCCAATCTTCTCAAAGCGATCCAGATGATCATATTATAGTTGTTCCACCATTTTAGTACAAAATCATTGTTCTTTTTAGATATCCAAAATATATTTTTTTTAATTATTGTATTTATTTAATGAATTATTTCTGGTTAGGGAAATAAAATTATATTTATTTAGTGTGTTTTGCATTAATATTGTTTGACATAGTGTATGGTCTATTAATTTTTATTTAATAATATTGAGTTTAAAATCAATATTTTAAATTTCTTTAATATTTTATATTTCTTTGTGTTTTTGTTCAATTATTAATACTTTGGCTTTCTTTACGCCTTATTTTATTAAAATTGATGTTGTATTATTGAACTTATTTTTAGTAATGACTGTTTGAAAAGCAATTTCTGTGTAAATTATTAGGTGTAGAAAATATATAGTAGCTATATTTTTTGATAAATAAGATCTAAAAAAAATGAAATTTGCTTACATCTCTTCAATTATAATATCAAGTATAAAGCTAACATATTATTATTTTGGTGTTGCATTGTGTTGTCTTATGTGGATTTAAGATTCTTTGACTATTGGAACCTTTATCCCATACTGGTTTTAAGAGTGCCATAGGGTCCATGTTCATTATATTTGATATTTTTTTAGATTATTCTTTTTTTATTTGGAATATTAAATTTTAATTTAATTTAATTAATAGTTAATTTAATTTAATTTTAATAGTTGAAAAGTTTATAATTAATAAATATGATCTCAAAAATAAAACGTTATTAATTTTTTTCATTTGTATTCACGTTATAAATTTATTTACAAGTTATTCTTTTATACTCTAATTTAACTGATATTATATCTAATTTTGTAATTTTTCGGTCAGTATTTCATGTTTTTGCAAATGCGTTATGACCCATAAAGAAAAAAAAAAGAAATAGAGAAGAACTGTTATAAGCAATTACTTATTTTTAAACTGTGTCATGTAACATCAACAGATCATATGTTGAGCTAATTAACTAATCAAACACATATATAGGAACTATGTTATAAATATAGGGCACATGATTTAAATAGTATATTGTATAAGTTATAAATTTCTTTCCATAGCGTGTACCTACATAGGTTTTATCCATATCTATATTATCAGCTATATTATATTATATTATATAGCTAAGTTATGTTGGAAAATGTGGAGTTCGTTTTTTAGTGAAAAAAAAGGCTATTTATCTATAAATTAAGATAGATATATTTATCTGCATATTGATTGTTACCTTGTAGGACTTGAGAAATCTTCATTTACATTTTATTATTTATTCAATTTACATTAGAAAAATTAGGATTTTTATAAAATATATATATATATTTTAAATCCATTAAAATATTATACGTTTACAACGGATGAGTGATAAATTTGCCGTTGGTGGCGCTGGGCTGAAATTTTGGTATGCTATCTCTCCCTTAATTGCTGATGTTTTTTTTTTTTTTTTTTTAAATAGGCAGCTGACACAATGGATGATTGCAATCCTTTCTCATTGATCTTAATAGCTAGTAAACCACTTTTCCAGTTTTTTTTATTGTTAGTTCGACTATACCTGGAGTTTAGCACTTATTATCTGATTCAACAAAGTTTTTGCAATGAATTAAATAAAGCATTATAAAAATCATTAATCAGTTACAAAAACTTCACCATATTTAGCAATAAGGACAGTATTTTTTTTTTGACAGTAGTTTTTATTTGCAGATTTTCTAGTTACTTTATGTCCCTCTTCAGCATCTAAATAACAGGAGCATATTAGATACTGAAGATGGTAAGAGTTCCCGAAACGTACAAATAAAAATGATAACACTATAAATGTATATGGTCCTTTTAACCTATAGTTTCTTTTGCGTCTTTGTGGGTAAGAATCGAAAAAAAAAAATTGATCAAATAGATGATAGAATTTTTTTTATTATTATTATTATTTGTCTTACTGGATCGAGCCCTTTTTGTGGGGCTGAAGATCAAAAAACGAGAAGAAGAAGAAACGAGAAATATAAAAATATTTTATTTTTTCTGATAAAATAACAAATAATATTTCATTTTATGCTAATATTATTTAATTTTAGTTTGTATTTCATGCAAATAAATTTAATTATTTATTCCACAGTTGTTAGATTTGTGTTGGATTCCTGTTCGTAGGATTTGTTTTTTGTTAGTTGCTTTTAAGCTCTGTGAAAAGAAGTCAAAGTGAGCCTGGCAAATTAGGATTTACACAACACACACACACACACACACACACACACACAAAATCATAAATGTAACTTTTGTTAAATAAAAATATGTCACTATTTAAAAAGTGGTTTATTTATGTCTTTAAAGTATGTATATTCAAGTAAATTTGGTTGAACTTTGCTATGTCTAGGTCCAAAGATAGGCTGCAATGTACCTATTCTTTTCGCAATTGTGGGTAAACGGTTGACTGTCGTGAATAATGAAGTGAAGAATAGTTGGGATGATCAGTCAAATAAGAAGGCAAAAATAAATGATAATATTTATTTTGACATTTGCCGACGTTTTGACCTGAAGTTCAGACCATCACCAGGGCTAAGAAACGAATCAGATAACAAGGTATGAGAAACGTAAGTAGTGTAAGTAAAAAAAAAAATTAAAGTAAAATGCAGTTATTAGAATAATGGCAGGTCCCAATACATCTATTATATTGTGTTGATCTAAGACATAGATTAACGTGTTTAATTAATAACAATAGGCTAATAGGTAATTGCAAGACTTGCAAAACCTGCAAGACTCTTGCTGCAAGACCAAGACCAAGACCAAGGCTGAGTGTGCAAGACCAAGACCAAGTGTGAACACTGCAAGACCAAGACCAAGATTAGCCAAATCTTGCATTTGGCCAACACTAATTAACATGATAATCCGGTCTCTGTTTATCCTTATGTTTAAAGTACTACGTTTAATTTAATTATAACTTGGCAATGTTTATCAGAAGGATCCCATTATCATTAATATATTTGTGCAAACATCCTTTACCGATCGTCGGAAAATAAACTTCTTCTCTTTTCACCTTTGCGTTCGCGTCACCTACAATTATTTTCATGTAGTTTAGCGGTAATTTATCTTTGATTTCCTTTCAATGATTTCTGCTTCCTCAGTACCAAATAGTGGACTTCCCTTCCCTCATCGAGCCCTTTTCTGGCCAGCGAACCTCTTGCGGAGCCACAATATTCAAATTAACCTAGTTCAAGACCAGACAGGTATAAAATAACGGAATATTTACTAGCCTTTGAGAAATATTTGAAAACCCTTCAATTTCCAGGTACCTGTCGTCCATCGAGTGGCCTGCAATAAAAGTGTAACTGAGTCCGGGATTAGAAAAGGGAAAATGTTTATTACCAAGGAAAGTTTTCAGGGCAAGAACCTGAAGTCATTGACCCAACAAAGTGGCCGAATAAAATTTTCAAATTCGTTTACACTTACAGTAGTATACGGAACAGAGAGGTTTGGGCGAGCAAGTCTTCGCCCACCAGTTGACAAATAGTTCCAGCATTACTTTATATATAGTCTAAATCAAAGCCTGTGTGCATTATGGCTTAAGACTGCTTTTGATGAACCAGTTAATTATCTTTCATTTTCACTGGATTAATTTAAGTTCAACTAGTTTGATGTTGGTTACTATTGGATTTAAAAAATGGCTAACACCAACTCTTTCAAAATACATAAGCAACACTTATATAGTCTATGAAATACCCTTCCCGGTATCCCGCCGCTACATTTTTTTTCATTTTGTAGAAGTTTTTATGTTCATTTAAAAAATAATCATCAGTTCTGCGCTAATCACAGTTTTTTTTAATTATTTCAGAAAACATAAACTAAAGTTTTGTAATAAAATTTTTTTTATCTTATGAAAACGTTA